TTAACATACAGAAATATTGAGGAGGGTATTTTGCTCGTCCCCTTTGCACACTGATATGTTGTGTTTTCCTACCGGTGCCTGTTCCCCTTTAGCTCTCCAAGTACTGAGCATCCTAAGGTCTTTGGAGTTTTGAAAAGCTTATCTGATTCTTAGAAGCTAAGTTCCTGTGTGTCCAGCATGTACTCACATTCTTGAATTGCAACATGCAATTGCAGTGCAATTGCATCTCTCAAATGAGATGTAGCCCAGGGGGTGGACATGCCCAGGGGTGCAGGGCTGAAACATCATTTGATATTATAGCATCACTTTATAATACTTCCAGATGTCTTTGTCATCTTCCTCGGTGTGGATGTTCTCTGGTGCGGGGACCAGGCTTGGTTTGGCAGTGGAGTGGTTCTAGTCCAAGTGCTACAAGCACTAATCACAATAAACACACACAGCATTAACATTATTTTTATTACGCATGTGCTTCTTGTTGGTTGGGGGTGGTTCAGGCACTACACTGAGATGAGAGCTGAGTTCCAGTTCCTATTTTACCAAACTCATTGGACAAGTAACCAGGATTGCTCACAAAAGCTCTGCATGCTCTAGCTCCTTGACAATCAATACAAGCTGGAGTAGCCAGCATGCAAACTGGGATGCTGTGCAGATGAAGCAATGATAGCTGTGATACCTGAAGCCTTGTGCTCTTATCAGGGGGTGCAGAAACACCCCAGCCCTCAGGGCTGAGCAAGGGACTTCTGTCCAGTCCTGCTGCCCATCCTGCCAGGTAGGTGGGTGCAGCAGCATCTCCTGAACCGAGGGCAGGGTCTACCCTGCCAGCACAAGCTGTGATACAAAATGCTAGTGCTGAGCATGTGCTGTGGTTGGAGTGCTGACACCACTGGGTTTTAAGTCAGTGTCTGTTCCTGGACCAGCAGGCAGACCTGTTCCCCAGGGTATCCCCCATGGGGTGCTGCCATGCCTGCAAGGAGCATGAGTATTGCAGTGGGAGAAAACCTTGTGTCTAGCCCCTGGGCACACCAGGCATGGGGTGTAGCTGGGAACATAAAGTAGAAGACAGCCACAGTCAGGTGCCAAACAATTTTTTTTTGCTTTAGCTGCTTTAAGTCATTTTGAAAGGCTTAGACTTAGGCTGCCTAAAGTGCTCAGCCCTGCTCTGGGCAGTGGTGCTGTGTATGCCAGGAGCTTTGTTAGCCTTAGCTGAGTCTGTATTAAGTGTAGAAGTGTGTGTTTTTTAAATAGCACGTCCCTACTCCCCTGGGAAGCTGACAAGATTTAATAATGATAGGGATGTGCTCAGACATAGTGGCAATAGGACCGTAGGGGATGATTTTGGCAACGGCCTGAGGAACTTGGAGCTGTTCTTGTTCTAAATAAAGAAGATTCTCTTCTATCAGCAGACTAATTTTTGAATTATAGAGTATGAGACTTGCACGTGCCCCAGCCTGGCAGCGGGAGAGCACAGATCTTTGTGCTTTACTGTCAACCCTCCCAGCAAAAATGACCTGCAAGGGATATGTAAAACCAATGGAAAGGAATAAATGCTGTCCAGGCACTGTGCCAGTGACCTTGAGATGCAGACCTAGCACCTCTTTTCCTTTCTGATTAACAGTTCCCTTCTTTTAAGGGTATTCCCTGTTTCTCATAGCAAAATACACAACACTGCCTCGAAGAATGCTGAGCACAGTCATTCAGGTGACACACCAGCAAGTGCCAGGTCCTGAGCCCAGACAGGCAGTTGTTGTCACCACCTGGTGGTACAGGGGCTGTCTGATGAGGAAAACAAAGCTGATGGAGAGCCAAAAGGCAACTGCTCTTTCCCAGTGTATCCATACACCAGCAGAGGGTCAACAGCCTTGGCCTTTTCCTTCCTACATGCCACTGGAGAAAGGGGAAATGCAGTAAGTCCATAAGGTTTAAGTACAGTTTTCCTAGTTGGTTTTAGAGACTGCACTTCAAGTTCTTCCTTGGTGGTTTATCACATTGAAACACATTCCCTGGAGACATTAACACACATCCTGTGCTAAGTGCTTTGCTTATCAGCTATGCTTCAGATTGTTTGCAGAGTGCTATGATTTAATTTGTTCCACAAACCACCCCAGTACCATGTCATGGTGTACGACTCGATGGTGCTATACAGCTTGACTGAACCAGGACAAACCAGCTCAGCGGCCATGGGAACTGAAGGGTAGGGTAGGTGTTAATGCAATTGCTTCACTTGTTAGATCTGCATCATTTCCAATCCCAAAGCCTGCCCTGATGCTGTATAAACGTAGCCCTGACCACCGGCTGTAGGCAGCCCCAGGGCCCATATGTTGGAGACTTGAAAGATGAAGAGCTGTCTGAGGGCTGAGGGGCTGCTTTTGAAAAATAGTAGATGCTCTTTTGGGAAAAGTAGCTGATTTGTACCTCTGTGTTCAGGTGAATGTGAATGTTGAATATTCCAATGGGTCTTTGTGCCAAATACCCCGATACTCGAGAAGGCCACTGGTCTGGCTATCTGCCCTTTAGCTGTAGCCAAATTCATCAAGGAGCTGCATTTAGACAGCAGGCTGCCAGGGCTGGTGGGAGAGGGGCACCTTGCTGGAAGCAGAGAGAGTTTCTGGAGTAGCTTTTGGGAAATTGCTGATGCTTCTATCTGGGAAGTCTGAGCTCTAGGGTGAGAACAGGAAAAGGGATTCAAGTATTGCAGGATTTTCCTTGAGCCCTTTATTGAGAGTCCTGCAGGCTGTGTGAGGATAGGCACGTACTGCACTTACCCTTTCCCCAGACACTTGCACTTTTGTCTTCTTACCTTCTCCTTTCCAGCAGAGCATCCTCTGCATGGGAACATCATCCCAGGCTGGAGAACTGTTCAAGTCTGTCCGTACTTTTCCTCCATTTCCCAAATCACCATTGCCTGGTTTATGAATCAAGCTTTAGGGTGTGAGATGGCTCAAGGTGGGCAGAAGCTCCTGGGGCTGCCAGCCCCTGTGTTATTTGTCTGTGGGGCTCAGAGCTGCTGTGATAAATGTGTCCCATTTAGCACATGGCGTGTTACACAGGAACACAGGGTTGTGTTACTCCTTGAGCCATATGTTCACAATTACGTGTTCTGCTTGAAGGCAACCCTAAACCTGAGATCGAGAACGTTAAGATACCATTTGCCCTGGACTCTGCAACTGTGTTTCTTCTAAATAAAACCCTCTTGCTTGATGAAGCTCTGCAGGGCTGGAGGTGGCTCGCATAGTTTCCATGTTTCCCAGCTGTTTGTTTGTTTCATTTCCTTGAAGCAGTACAAACACAGCCCTTGGCGTGGCTGTCAGCAGGACGTGGCCGTCTCCTGACCTTGGCCAAGCGGCAGTTCCAGCCCCGGCCCCCACAGAGCGCAGTGCTGGCCAGCTCGGCCTCTGGCCCACTTCACTTAGTTCAAGGGAAGGGAAAGGGAGTGAACCTGGCCCCCACCTCTTCTGCAGCCTCCCTGGGATCATCCGTCCTGATTTCTGGAGCTGAAACGCTCCAGCTCAATCTGCAGTTCAGACTGGTGTTGGTGTGGTTGTGCCTGGGTCAGGGCTTGCTCAATTTGCTGCGTGCTCACATTTGATAAGCAAGGGCTTAGCAGCGATTCCATGGCTGGCAGGCTGGGCTATGCGGTTGATGATAATTCTTGAATTACTGGGGTGGGCAGGTGCCCAAGAAGCTGTTGTGTAAGCAGGTCCTCGTGCCATAATGTGGCAGAGCTGCCCACACAGCACTCAGCAGGCAAGTGATGGGCGTTGTGCAGCTATTCCCGGGATGACAGCTACCCCAAAGCCTGACCGCTTCCTTCCTTCAGTCCATGCTGGTTCTTCAGCTCTATCAGGAAAAGAATTATTGGACTTCCTCTTGGGGTACCGTTGCCAGATTACTGCTGTGGCTCCGTCTGGGTACTGAGCCTGGCCTGTGGGCTTCCTCTGAGGAAGAACATGGGGAAAGGCACGGAGCCGCTGCATTTCTTTAAGTGTAGGGAGATCTTGTTTTCTTGTTCCTTGTGACTTTGTATATGAAAGCCCAGTGATAGAGACAGCTGGAAGCTGCACAAGTATCTGGCACAAAAGGCCTCGGAGGGCTGCAGCTGGCTGCAGGCTTGGGCTGGAAACATGGAAACTATTCTGCTTCGCTCTGGGTTGGCGGCGATTTCTGCACACAAATTAGGCAGTGCCTCAGCCAGGATCTCGCCAGCCCTCAGTGGGTCTGCCATAATGACCCGAGTCACTCTGAGTGAGTGATTAGGTACCATTATCCCTGCTTGACATGAACGATGTAAATAAAAGTCTGGTGTTCTTCCTCTGAAGAAGGTGACAGGGACAGGCTGTCGTGTGGCCGTGCTCTTCCCCGAGCCACAGGGCAAGCAAGCTCTGCAGTGCTGCAAGCACAGCCGTTCATTCTCCAGAAGGCCAAGAGCTGCGTTTTTGTGTTTGGCCAGAGCCCATCCTGCCTCTTTGTAGGCAGAGATCTAGCATTCATATCTTGGATGGTTATTAAGGGCATGGAAAATATTTGCGTTACTAAAACACTGCTTATGCTAACTGCAAGCACAGTGCTTCCAGGAGGCTGGGCGGCCTCGGCCGGGAGTCAGCCCGCATAGCCTCACCCTATGGCCTGCTTTCTCTTCAATTCATGGTACTTCTCTCCCTCTGTACCAAGGGTACAGTGTTTGTGATCGCTGTGACCAAACCCAGGCTGTGTACTGCAGCCAGACCCTGAGCCCAGTGGTGTGTTAGGTTATCCTGGAGGCACCTGGAAAGCTCTAGTGCTAGTGCAGGTAGCAGAGCTGGCTTGCTTTATAAACCACTGAGCTGATAGAATTGTTGAGGTAACTTTTGCTGTTCCAGAAGCTGCTTTATCTAGCAACAAGCCCTTCGGGCACGTGACACCACCACACACTCACGGCTGAGCCATTTTTTCATCACTTCTTGTGATGCTGGAGCAGTTACCAGTGCTTCAGTATTTTAGGTTTACTCCCCTCCCTCCTGCAGGGCCCAGCAGTTACAGCGTGGGCACCATGTCGGAGCGCTTTGACTGCCACTACTGCCGCGACTCGCTGCAAGGCAAGAAGTACGTGCAGAAGGAGGGCCGCCACTGCTGCGTCAAGTGCTTCGAGAAGATCTGTGCCAACACCTGCATCGAGTGCAAGAAACCCATCGGTGCTGACTCCAAGGTAACTGCTTGGTGCTCACACAGGTGATGAGAACAAGACAGGAAGATGCTTGTTTCCCCACCCTCTCACCCCCGCAATTTGTTTCCCTTTTTTGCAAGCTTCTGTGTGGAGTTTTCTTTCAAATACCCTGGCTGTTGGGCTATGCCTGAAGGTGCTGCTCGGGCAAAGAGCCAGAGGCCGTGGGGCGCTGCTCAGGCTGCCTTTGCATGGGATCTGGTTTCAGGATCTCGATTTGACCCTGTGAACCGCAGCAAATGCCAAGTTGTCCCAACTGGCAGTTAATCCAGCTTTGTAGGTCTCCCAGAAAACTCATCTTCTGGGTGAAGCACTCTGGAACATAGGATACGATTTATTTTTTTTAATTGGTTTGTAAATATTTATTTATGGCAATAATAACATACACCTCAACTGGAAGGAACAGGATCATCAAAGTAGCCCTTGCTTACGGAACCCCACATCTCAAAGTTGTTGGCTTTAAAGCATATTCTGCTACCCCAAAATCCCAAAGTGCACTTAGGCTCTTCATAGATGTAACTTTTTGAATGTGATGATAATTACCATTGGGACAGTAACTTGGTTCTAGTGCTGCTCAGCAAGACAAGGGCTTATTGCTCCCTGTTTCTGATCATTCCAGGAGCTGCATTTCAAGAACCGTTACTGGCATGACAGCTGCTTCCGCTGCTTCAAGTGCCACATGTCCTTGGTCAATGAGCCCTTCATGCTGAGGGAGAACAACAAGGTCTGGTGTAGCAACTGCACTGCCACTGAGGATGCACCCAGGTGTAAGGGCTGCTTCAAGCCTATCATCGCAGGTACCAGTGCTAGCAGTATGGATACGATCACTGAGTGCTGCTCTAGGGCAAATCCCAAGGCTAATTAAGCAGCAGTTAGGAGTATGGCATCATAGTGCAAGTCTGGAGAGTAACAAAGTGGTGTAAGTTTTTACTGCTGCTCTTACCTGTCCAGACAAGGGTTAACTGTACGGCAGTCTCTGAACCCTCATGTGGATAGTTCATTTCAGTAGTCAGTGTTAAACAATTTCTGTCAAAAGCTCTGCTATGTGAAACAAGATCCTCCTCTCAGAAAGGCACAACAACACTTGGCAAACCTGAATCTAAAAAAATCTGGAAGATCCTTACTAAAATTGGATGTAGAAATTAGTTTTGAAGAGCTGTTAAAGTCCTGTATGGACAGATCTTGCCTACAGCCATTACGCTGCATGAGGTTACTGCGTGCTTGTCACAGGCCTGAAATCCCACCTACGGTGTTCTTTCTTTCTGTTGTAGGAGACCAAAATGTTGAATACAAGAAGATGGTCTGGCATAAGGATTGCTTCACTTGCAGCCAGTGCAAGAAAGTGATTGGATCTGGGAGCTTCTTCCCAAAGGGTGATGAATTCTACTGTGTCTCCTGCCATGAGCATAAATTTGCCAAGACCTGTGCCAAATGCAAGAATGTAAGTCCTTCCCCTTTGCCACTGCAGCTGCCAGAACTGGCCTGTAGCATGTGAATCAGAAGCTAGGAGAATAAACCAGTAGACAGATCACTTCATCGCTGTATTATTGCTAGTATTTCTGAAGATACTGGTGCTGCAGCTAGCAGTGTAAGAATGTGAGAGAGTTAGAGGCTATGGCACATTTGTAATTGAGCAGGGCCTGCAGGGTTTGCTAGGAGCTAATCTGTTGAAAGCAGATGTGCACCAGCCTTGTACTTGCTTTAGGGATGGCAAGGCTAAAGTGGCTTAAAGTTCTCTAGTATGTATTGTGTATTCAAGCCATAAAACAATCTTTTACAAAACAGCTGCTGTATAATCTTACAATTGATTAAAACAGAACTGCAGAGTAATTGCAAATAAGATAAACTATTAGGAAAGCTCCAGGCATGCAAAATTCCAGGCTTCAAGTGTTCAAGGAGGAGGAGTTCAAGTGTTTCACAATTTCATTTTAATGAAAATGTTTGAGTGACCTTCACTATGACAAAGCTCCCCTTCACAATGCCTCATGCCTGCTTCACCTCTCTTCTGAAACATCTTTCTTGCTCTTTTCCTCTTAGCCCATCACTTCTGGAGGTCTCACTTACCAGGAACAGCCTTGGCATTCCGAGTGTTTCATTTGCTCCAACTGCAAGAAGCAATTGGGTGGGAAGCGCTTTACAGCTGTAGAGGATCAGTTTTACTGTGTTGAGTGCTACAAGGAATGTGTTGCCAAGAAGTGTGCTGGCTGCAAGAATCCTATTACAGGTATGTTGGATTTTATGCAGCTTGAGACCATGGGGTGCTTAAGGTCAGAACTCTGATCCCCAAAGATGTGCAGCTCAGAGGGCACTAACACCAGAAGCAGCTGTAATATCCCAAGCCTTACCCCAGCAATTTACATGTGATCTAACTATAACTCACATGCTTCTTTACCTTTTGCACTCTTCATGCTTCTTTTACATTTAGCCTCCTCCGAAATTGCCCCAGCTGGAACTATTCACACATCAATATTTGTCTGAGAACAAGAAGTCTAAAAAGAGTAACTTTTTTACTGTCCTGAGTGACATTTGCTATACTTCTCATGTATTTCACATGTCCCCATTAGTTACTGGATACAAAAACCCCACAAAGCTCATCTCATGGCTATGAGATGGGGTGCTATCCTGTCAATCCCATAAGTCTTGTATTTCAGAGCATGGATTTGAGCCTATAAGAAAGAGGTAGGCTGTTCAGTCCAACCTCTGCTTTGGTCCATGTCTTGATCTGTCCGTCACATTGATTGTTCCCTGGAGAAGGAATCCAAGGGACAGGGCTTACTGCAGACAAGCCTTTGCTAAGCTGCCTGGACTGCACTATTACAGAGAAGCAAACAACACAGTTCAGTTGCACTTTGGGCTAGTATTTTAGACACTGCAACTACAGTCTGCAAGACTATAGAAGCATGAGGGGCAGTAAGAACGGGATCTGCTGCATGGTGGGCTAACCCAGCCACGGGAAAAGCTACTATCGCCGTCCTATAATTGTGTTCTCTCCTAGCAGGATTTGGAAGAGGAACCAGTGTGGTTAACTACGAAGATGAATCCTGGCATGATTACTGTTTCAAATGCACAAAGTGTGCCCGTGGTCTGGCCAACAAGCGCTTTGTTTGCCATAATGGAAAAATTTACTGTGCTGAGTGTCCCAAACGACTGTAAGGAACAGACAGCAACTGATTTAAAAAGGATTTTAAAGGCCCGCTTTTCAAAATAGTCCTGGTAAAGGTGCAGGTTTTGCATGTTAAAGAGTTTTACCTTTTTCAATTTTAGTATAAAAACAACTAAAATAGAGCTTGAATATAATGGGTATGAGTTTTGAAGCTCCTGCAGCAAGAAAGCATGTACTGCTGCAAAAAGCTAACACTGCCTTCAAGTAACTATTAGTTTAAAGGCTTGAAAGAACACTTAGATTTTAGCATTAGAAAATCCAAATACTACCATAATCTGTGTGTGGTTTAAACTAAAACAAAGCTAGTTTTAAACTTGTTTAGTATAGGTTTAAGCTTGGTGCTTACACTAAGTGGTTTTGACAAGGCATGCACTCAGAAAGGGAGATGCAGACATTGCACCCAAGATTAGAGAGATCCATTATTGTCCTTTTGCAAGTACAGGTACATTACATATATCACACTATGAACAGCAGCTCAATAATAAGTACCTTTGCTTATTTACCATGCCAAATTGCAACAAGTATATGGAGTGGCTTTATCTTACATACATATAACAACATTTTGGCAGTACAATTTAGTGTTAGTTTTAAGTTTCCATAAACTTGTTTTGTTTTTGATTTCTGCATGGTTTGCCCTAAAGTTTTGCTCACTAGCTTTTTTTACATCATGTTCAATAAGGTTGTCTACATCCAATTATTAATCCACTAATAAGCAACTCTTTCAACTACTGCAGAATGCACGTTCATTTAGAAGTTCCTTAACAATAGCTCAGATGACCACAGCTCTCCTATCATGTCAGTGTACGTTTTATGATTTAATAAAAATGAGACTAGTGCCTGCCTGGACTCCTACAGTCTGGAAAACTGTTGTTTTTTCATTTTGCTATCTTATATGATAGACATCTCTCATGGCTGAGCTACTGAGATTGAGTCTGATATCTTGATATAGGAAAGAGCTGTTCTGCCAGCGTCCTTAGATACATGAGGACTAGAGCAACAATGTACATAAACTAATTAGAAAAATACATAATTGACAGTGGACCATCTGCCAAAAACAGCTTATGTGAAAAAAACCTTTTGGAGAACACACAATCAGCCACTGTCCATACACATCTATTACCTTTTAGTGACCTATGTGCTGGTTTGAAGGATTTTCATGCTTTTGTTCCACCCCCCATCACAGTCACTGATCCACACAGTAATATTTATGAACTGGATGCTGCTTCAGTCATTCCCCTTCATACACAAGAACCTACCAGAAAAAGAAATACCCCAACAAAGGGCAGCATCTTGCTGTTACCATGATGGTCACAGCTCCACAATGGCCACGGAGCACTGCAAGACTTACCCTTAGAACAACAAGGTGCTGGTCCTACAAGTACAAGGCGAAGGTTTGCAGTAAAAAGCAAGTTAAAGAATTCAACAGTTATGAGAATCTCATAGGTGCATACAAACACAGTGATATCTGAAGGTGTTTGTTAGTACAAATCCCTTTCCAACTGCACAAATGCTACTGCCAAAGAGGCACCTGGTTTGGGACTCTGCAGGAAGGAGCAGTTAGAGCAGTACCAGAGGGCACCTCAAGGCAGGTCAGCACGGCAAGGGGCTGGAGCCTCCTAGTAAGGTAATGTTTAGCATTACAGAAATAAAGCAATGTTCAACTGCAAAGTTTATTTAACAGTGCACACATATTTACACAGAGCTGTAACAGACCGTTGGACAAAGAGTATCAGCACAGAAAAAATATCTGCATCTTCTGTTAGGATGATTGTCTCTGCCACAATGAAACAGCTTATCATACAAAAATACATCTTTCTTTTCACCTAAGGCACTGTTCTAAAGTCTAAGAAGTACTACCATGTGCTGCATAGCAAACGGAGTAAGAAGGCTGAGGCTTTCCTATTGCAATCGTTGGGGGAAAAACATTTTTAGTTCCAGCAAAACCATTTTCATTAACCGCTGAAAATGCAGCTGCCATTTGGATGATTCATCTGAATTGAAGTATCAGCCAAGTGTTTATAGCAGGGTTTGAGACAGCTATTCTTTAAATTAATCGCTTAATTATTCAGTATCTCTGTTACAGGAGACGTAAGAACAATACTGCATTATTACTTCTAATAGCAGCTCTTGGAAGATGCTTGGTTAATCTCTTCATGCTGCAAAAGCAGGCAAGTTCAGGTTAAATAGATTACTTAATGCAGGCTTTAGGGGATGGGAAATATATATGCAGCTTGCAGTCACTATTATAAAGCTAGAACAGGAATACTTGGAGTAATTAACATGAACAAAATATGACTTCAGTGATCTAATACTGTTATGTACACAATAAAATAATACTTCACAAGTGTAGATAAATAATTCAAAAGGAAAACACTTTTAAAAGCAGGACATGTTAAACTGCACTATGACAAACGTATCCAGGTATTCAACAGTTTTGCAGTATATTAGTGCACAGGCTGTAAAATGTTTTGATGTTTTCCAATAGATTAAAACATATTAGTGATGACACAACAAATGCATTTTGAAACCGCCAATATTTTTATGTTAGAAAATAAGACATTTTTCCAGAACATTACCACTGGTATTCAGCTTTAACACACACTGAGCAAGTCTTCAAGTGCCATTTTAGGAATATGCAAAATCTGGCCAGTAGCTAACTGGGAAGTCCCCAGTGGCACACTGCTGTGCATTACACTGATAGGAAAACAAAAGGACTCAAACAGGTTAGTGTAAAGTCTGTAAAAGGGAAACGAGTGTTACTTGAACAAGGACATCCTCTCTAACAACTAAACAAATGGAAAAGGAACATCAGCACAATAGTCTCCCTGAAATGTTTCAAGGTGCAAATCTAGAAGTTTGTCAGCCCTCTCTGGTGTTATTTTTTGCAAACTTGAAGATGGATAAAGGTAAACAAGCAGCTTTTCAAAACAAGGCCTTCGGTACTTGATAGAGCACCAGATTACTGAAGTGCAATCAGATTATTTCCAGGTCTCAAGTGTTCACAGTTCTGTCCAAAGAGCAAAGAAAAGAAAGTGTAACCATCATACTGTGTGTATTCTACATAAATCTGTCCTCACTGTCAGAGTGTACATCCAGGAAGGTAAGAACAGAATCAGTGCAACATCAGCATAGTAGCTTTTTTTTTTCAAAAACAAGGTATATGAGTATTCATTTCCAAAGCTGTGTATGCAACTCTTAAAGCATATTGTCTCTAAACACATTCAAGTTCAGAATTAAAAGGCAACACTTTCTTCACTAAGAAATGAATGATTTTGAGCATAAGAAAATGCAATCGGCAGAATCACATGAAATCATTCTGTTCTCAGACTACTCAGCAGAGGCCCAAAGGAAGTCTCAGTGTGTCTCTATGTCCATCAGAGCACAACTCACAAGACGCAGAGTGACAGAGGAGACTCAGGAAACAGTTCAGTCTAGAAAAGTGCTACACTTTAATTAAAAAAAAAAAAAAGTGCTACACATCACTGAAAGAAACTGTTGATACCAAGTCTTGTTTCTTCCCACTGTCATTTACTTCATCTGTTCACGCAGTCATTTATCTCATGGACAGAGATCTTCTGCTGTGAGTACGTTCACATGGGGTTTAGCTCCAACAACTGAGCAGTTTAATCTTAAGAAAACTAGCACACCAAGGCCTCTCTGACACTACACTGCATCAGGGTCTGGGTTCTCAAGTACATGGGCTTCAGATGCAGCCTGATTTCTTCCAGAAAATTCTGAATATTTTGTGTGTAGCTTTATTACTCCTCCTAACATGTAACACAACCGTCTGTGGAATTTAAGGTTGGTGTTACTCCCCTTCAGTGAAGCAAAAGCCTATTCTACAGTAAGTATAGAGGACAGGTACCTTGCCAGAGCCTGAAGAGACCTCTTAAAGACCATGCAGGTCAGCATTAAGTTACAGAACATGCCTAGGAGTGGAAAGGGGAAAGTAGCCAGGTCTTGTCTGTAGAGTTACATCAGACACCTATTCAACTGTTAGTATCTTCAAAAGTAACACGTGCCATTTAAGACATCTTAGAAGAAATCAAAATAGAAGAACAAAACAGATGGGCTTGAGTGCTGACAGGGGATGCAGGAGCTAAACAGGAGCTTGGCTTTGTCTTTGGAAGAGCCTTCGTGTCAGGCCTTAGCTGCTGCATAGAGCAAATCCCTAACAAGGCATCAACTGGTGACTTCTTTTGACAGAATGCAAGTTGCAAGCATTAAAGAAAGAGCTTTCCCTCCAGTCTACACATTGGAGAAAGTGCCTTGAAAATAAGAAGCTGAAGTTAAGGCAAGGAGAGTAAAAATACAACAAAGTTAATTATCTAGCCAGAGGAGGAGATAGATGGGGAAATCAGCTTGAATTACCTGATGAAGAATCTATAGGTTTGGTCAATGAATTCACTGCACCATCTTCCTCATAAGTCAATTTGGGACTAGAAGGTATTGTAGCAGCATCATTCAAGTTTTGATTACAGTTACCAGCAGAGATGCTGTCCGAACTCAGTTTGGTTGACTTGGAATGTACTCCAATGTCAATGAATTCCTCGGAAGTCCACAGATCAGATTTTCCATTAAGATTCTGAATAAGTCCACTTGTATGATCAGCTTCATTAACACCCAACTTCACTGAGTCATCGATAACCATTTCTTTTGCAGGATGGCTACAAGAAACAAACATTATTTGTATTACAATTTATGGATTTTTAACCTCTAGATTCATTACAGGCCAGCCAATTAGTCTGCATACTTTGCAAAGCACTGCATATCCTGAAAGGCAATCCTAGACAAGCTCCTGCAGCTGCCACGTGGGATCTCACTTCCAAGAACCAGTGCAGAGGAACGACTCACCACCATATAACCACTTTTTGACTATACTAAGACCTCTCAGGTAAGGTCTGGTTCCAGAACTGATAGTAGGAACCAGCAAGTTTAAAGACGTGCTCTGTTCAAATTCTATTTTAGTAATATGCATTTCTCCTTTCGTTTCCCCTCCAGTTAGACTTTTTAAATACAGAACCGATCCTCAGAGGACTGTGTATCTTTAAACACATTCAAACTCAGAGTGATCAATTTTCATTCGTTTTTGAAAAAATAATGAATATGTCTTCATAGTTCACCACTAGTGGAATTCATTTTTTATCACTTTGCAAAGAGTTCACAACACCATTTCTAAATCATTAGTGTCTAGATAAGCAAATGGAACTAGCATCAGAAGACACATTTTCCAGCAGTAGATGCAAATATTTTATGTTTAAAAAGATAAATTTTGGAAAATAACAACAATATTCATAAAAGGAGGCTTTTGTGTTCTACCTGGTATTTCAGCACCAGTGAAATTGGTTATTTTTTTTCTCTCTCTCCTCCTTGTTTATTGTTTTGTTAATGAAAAGTAACTTGAAGGGAAAAGCTTTCAAGTCGATATCATTCTTTGTAAGTAACACTGCTGTGTTGCTGGCAAAGCCAATAATGTCAACACGTGTCATTTAAGCAGACAATTCTCTGTAACTGCCTCTACGTGAGCCAGTATACTGACAGCAGTCACATACCATATGCAGAAAAATACCAGCAAATAGTGAGGTGCAAAATCTGATCCAATGCTAAATACAGTACAAAAACTAATTAAAAAAAAAAAGAAAGAAAGGAATTTCTTGTGTGATAGAGAACTGCTCAACAATGCAGACTCACCTGGAATCCTTCAATTCAGTAAAAAGTAGAGACCCCTCATCACTTTTCAAATCGCTGCCATTCATAAATACTTCACTGGCCTTCAACTCTGTCACAGTGTGTTGCTCAGACTCTGTAGAGATCAAGCTCCGTGCAGTCTGTACACAACCCTCTGTCTCCCCTTTGACTTCCTGGGGTAAGTCAATGCCATTGAGCTTTCCTGAAAGTGTGGGGGAAAGAAAAACAACATAGCAGCTTCAGGAACAGTGTTGCTATTCTAAATGAATAAAATACAAGTGTCAAATTGACCCTCCCTTGCCAAAAATCTGAGGCACTGTTTCAATACAGAAATCAATCTATACACAAACTGCCTATAACAATGTATTTGTTTTCCATCTTTAAAAATACACTTGTGAGGAGTGTATTTTTCTCACACAAATCGTTTTACATTTAATCATTTTGGATTTCTCTTGTGGTATGGAGTTGGGTTTAAAAAGAAAGATCTTAAGTAAAAAGACTTGGTGGTACCTCTAGGACTTGTGTCTCAGGTAACCATAGTTGATGCCATTAACTGATCTGACATTTTTAACACACCTTAAACGTCACTGAGATACTGACAGCAACTTAGATCTGACTTATCACATTTCCTTACCGGGTTGATCAGCCTTCTCAAGTCCCAGCTCTTCTTCCTCTTCTATATCCTCTCCCTCCATGACCTCACAGGCAGACTTTCCTTCATTCTGCAACTGAATTCCCATAGTATTACTCAACAGCTCACTATCAAGCAGCTTTTCAAAAATGGTTCAACCACAGCTCCCACACAGGGCTGTTCTGCACCAAGCAATAAGGCCACACTACTCCAAAGGCTAACAGACAATCAGCATCCATGGCTGGGACAGGGAGTCAACTAAGAGGGCTGCTGGAGCTGACTCTCACTTTTCAGGTTCACTCAACAACAAGCAGATCTGCTGAGCCAGAGCATGTAAACACGTGAGAGACTCCCATCCCCTGCCTAGAAAACTCCCGAGTTCCCTTTCCCCTCATTTTTCCAAGGTGTGCAATAAATATTTATTGGTTTTCAGCCACATGGAACCAAAATAGGATGGCATTTTGAACAGTAAGAGAGGGATGACTGTTTAAAAAAAATAAAATCTACTACTAACCAGTGTTTTTTGTACCTGGTCAGAAAGTGGTAATGCCAGATTACATTGTTTCTGTATGCCCTGAACAAAAATGCACAGACAAAACTGAAACAGCAATACAAAAGGATGTGTACAATGTATGCGAGCTACTGAAAATTATTCTGGTACACTATAAAACTTGGACCTTCACATGGAAGCCAGTTTGAGGGAAACAGAAGAACAAAGGCAACAAGACAAAGACAAAGCCTTCTCTGGAAGGGCTATTACACAAATCTAAGCAAATAAGTACCTTGGATTCGTTCTGATCTGATTTTCGTGTTCTTTTCATTATTTCTTCAATTCTCTGTTAAAAAATGGAAAATATTTGCAATGATAGAGTTTTATATTTCAGCACTCTGGGTTAAATTTTCATCAATCATCATATATTTTCTTATTTCATACACTTACTACACTCACTGTTTTTAAAGCTCACAAGTCACAGCTGACTTGAAACTACTACTACTACTTCTGCTTGAATGAATCTAGACAGACTGCCTACTCAGTTTATTTTAGAGCTAACACTTAACCCCTGTTCTAAGGGTAAGGGACTTCTCTGCTTTCGAAACAACATACCTTTTTCCTTTCAAGCCTTTCCTGCATATTTTGCTGCATAATTCTCTCTCTTTCCAGACGCTGTCTTTCAGCCTCTTCTTGAGCTTTTGCTTCAGCTTCTTCCCTCTGAAAATAAAGAGAATAGAAAGAAAAGCATTCAGTGAAAAACTCATCTCCAAGAATTCAAAGCAGACCTGTTACAGAGATTCTGGTGTAACACAGACAGGAACTGCAGACAATCACTATTTATTAGAAGCACACATTGCAGCTAAATGCCAGCTATATAGCTACTGATGTGAAATTTATACTACTATGACATTCAAAAACTGACTTGAAAAGAAAAACAGTATGCATGGCTATATTATCATTATGCAAATGTTCTGGATGTTGTTGGGCTACTTAAGCTTCAAACTTCATGACGAAGTTTTTCTAAGAAGAACAATTTATGAAGTAGCAGAACAACAAGTGGGTTCTGTATGTCAAGCTTAATTCAAAAATTTTGATAGTCAGGCATTATTGTTAAAAGGAACTCTGTGCTGATTATCTTCTGCTCCTTCTACACTAGAAAATCTTTTTCACTGGAACTGGAAAGAAAAAAGTACAGTCGAAACTATCTAACTGTTATAAATTTAAACAAGCTTTTAAAGAAATGCTTAGACACATATCAATGCTACCAATAAGATACAGCTCTCTAAACACAAATGTAAAGCTGCTTTAATTTTCTATATCAATCTCATTTAAAGAAAGTCTTCTTTCTTCAAAACAGTTTCTTTCACTTGGAAAGATGCCTTTATAAAGGCACAAAGTTATTAGCTGTGGAAGACTATTTCTCAATTAGAAAAGCAGACTTGGAAGCACTACTGATCTTCCTTTTTGCTCATGTGGGTACAGAGGACATCAGATGACTCCAGGCAGACTGACCATTTTCTTATAACTCTCAGCATTATGTTGGTAGAACAGCCTTAATACAGATACATTTATGTGTGCAAAATAACATCCCAGGTGGCTAAAGAAAACACCAAAGCACGCCAAAACGTGTGCTTTTGTCCCATACTTGAACCTATCAAAAGCGAACAGAAATCACAGAGACTAAGGCAAGGCCTTAGAATGTTCCTTCAGAACATTCTCCAACCAATCCCAGCTGAAAGCAAACCTGGTGCTGAAGCTCTGCAAGCTTTTCCTGTTCTTCCTGTTCTCGGCGGATTCTCTCCTCTTCAGCTTGTCTTTGTTGTTCCTCATAAATGAGTCGCTTTTCTTCCTCCTGTTTGCGAAGCTCCTCTTCCCGTCGTGCTTTTTCTTCAATTGCTCTCTTGGCCATTTCTTCTTCTCTGATTCTAGTGTTGTCAAAATATAAATATGCATTTGTAAGCATGCAGGTGAGACAGACGAGGAAATCAAGAATTTCTACTTCAGCCAATCACAGACTAACTGCATGAGGACAGTTTCTGCTGTAGATTCACAGATGTCACCAGCCAGATCAGTCCAAGAAAATGCAGAAACACCTGAAGGAAACTATGTGCACCTAGATGTTCTTTGCTGATTAAGACAAGTCCAAGACCAGTTGTTTCAATAATGGAATGTTCCATTGAGACATGTGTTATGAGACAACAACTTAATAACAGTCGCTGCATCCCTCATAGGAATGCAACTTCCAGTGTCTTAACAAATCAGATTTTAGAAACAACTTTCTTTTATAGCCTTAGTTCCAGTGATATACTGGAGGTATCACACGGTCATACACATCCAATCTGATCCAATATGGGCATAACATATTTCTGATAAAACATCAATATCAGACTGCATTTAAGTTTAGGCCAACATTATACCCGTGAATGGAAAACATACAAAATCTGATACTGTAACGTTCA